AGAGAGAGAGAGAGAGAGAGAGAGAGAGGGTGGTGGAGAGACGGCGAAAATGATTCAGGGAGAGTGAGAAAAAGACTGGGAAACAGAGAGAGAGAAAGAGACCTGAAGAAACAGAGACACAGTGGCAGAAATAAGAAAGAAAGCGCCCTAAAGACGTCCAAGCTAGATAGATCTCTGACCTGTGTGGTCCTTGGTCTGCACCTGGCACTTCCGGCAAACACGTTATCCTCTCCATCCCCGTGTAGTGGACACTGGTCAATATCGACTTTCTGTAGATCGATGTCTATGCCACTCGTGCCCCTGAAAGAACAAGTTCAGTTTTAGTAAGTATGAGTTTTACGGCACTTGCAAAACAATCAGTCTAATTGATAGCGCCGAAGGTTAGAGGTTTTACAAGAGAATAGTGTAACAAACACAAAAAGGAAAGATTAATAAAGTTTGACAGAACAGACAGAGCACCCGCGAAGGACAAACAATATAGTTTTCGTTAGGTTTCCATTTTCGTAGACATAATTATTATTTATTAGGCTGCCAACCCCTTCTCTGCTTTTGCACATTAATTTCTTTTTCCCTTTACTCCTAAAACGTACCTCTAAAAGTGTACATTGTGTAGCGGTTAGGTTATGGGCTTTGGGGGGGTTTGTCCAACTTTTCCCCTGCATCTTTTTGAGAAATAACCACCTGACTTCAGACCACACTAAGGTTCAAACCCAAGACATCCACGGAATTAGACAAGCTTAAGATCAGCAACATCTCTTCTGGACCGCAGTATCTATTCGTAAACGTCTCCGACGGATATAGACCAATTAAAATACTTTGTGTCGCTAGATCTAGACCAAGTAAAAAGTCTGGGGGGGGGGTTACAGAGGGGCACCCCCCCCCCTGTTTTAACCCATAATTGGCTGTTTTGCTTGTAGGTTTGAAATTTTCTTGAATTATTGATTTGCGACAGTTTTAGAGGCTATACGTGTGGTCTGCAGCAAACGATATGCAGTTTGACTCCCGCTTAGCAGTGCATCTGATCTGTGTGCGGGAGTGCGTCGCCGAATAGCTCCTGGGTGCTCGCCGGAGACGTCTCCGAATATCTTCTGCCTTTTGGACAGTGGTCAACCAATCAGTGTTTCCGGAGATCAGTTCTGGTCTGGGGCTAAGACAACGGGTACTGCGACGACACAGGAGTGTGGATCAGTTTGCTCTGGGTTGGACCTAAAGAGTCGATCTAGTGCAGTTTGCTGCGGCTGCACTCAGGAGAGAATTTCTTTTTTTTCCCCCTTTTACCGAGGAGGGGGAGAGCGAGTTTTCTTTCTACCTTTCGAAGGGGGCGGGGGAAGGGTTGTAAGGGTGGTTCTGTGTGCTTGTAAGTATGTGTGCATGTGTGTGTGTGTGTGTGTGTG